ATACCATAAGGCACTACTCATAGTCAATCCTTCTAGAAGCAGGTTTTCTTATTTCCTGATTCTACAATCTTTAAGTCTTGAACACTCCTCTAGTATAAATACAGGTTTAGGGCCACAGACTTCTGTTACCTTGCTTATTGGCCTCCAGTAATTTTACATATTATTTCTAACTTCAAAGTAGAATTAAGCTGTCATTTCAGATCTGTTTTACATGAAACCACCTGCAGACGATTCCCTAGGCTCTCCTCAACCCTCTTGACTATCTTGTAGACAGCCTCTGATAGACATGAGAGTGCATGGCTTTTCTATTACAGTAATGTCTCTACTTGTATCCTTTTACTGGACCTACTGCAACTCTCAAAACTATAGCTCACCAGGTTAGGAACATCAAATAGTACTGGTGCAGGTTGTTAGCTACTATACTACCAAGTTAAAACTTGTTTAAAGCTTAAGAGCTCATGCAGGAATAATCTACCCAATATGAAATTCTAATAGCCAATACAGTTTTGTATAGTAAAAAATCTAGTAACTTCATGTAAAGTTCTATATAATGGAGTAGTTTCATGGTATGGTAACCTGATTCTATTGCTGGGTAATCTGTGGCTTCAGGGAGGGTAACTGTAGTCTACTGGTACGATCATTCTGATAGTAATTACTAGAATCAATGTTCTTGTAAACAAAGATGCTACTAGTCTTGTAATTTTGCAGTATTGTGTAACACTAACTATAGAGCTGTGTAATGTTCTTTTATATGCAATTTTAACCTGGCTAGTGTATTGTCTTATTTAAATCCTAATGTCACTTGTGACTACTTTTTTCATCCAACCCTATTATCTTATATCATACTGAGTTTGATCAATAACATCAAGCAATATCCTACTACCATTTCTATTCTTCTTTATCAAATTCTATCCCGACTCACTGCTGAATAATTCAGGGTAGCACCTCAATTGACTACCTTGATTATCCTGCCCTGCCGGGTAACTCTTCTTACCTAGTAGTACCTAGACACCTTGTAGTTATAAGTAACATGTCTGGCTAAGGTGTCAAATCTACAGTACCTCCATCCAGTAGACTATTGTCTATTACGATTCCTATTACTGTAGTCTCCTGTTACCCGTATGAGTATAGATTTGGCTTTTTGTAATAATGACTTTAGAAGTGTTTTTATAACACAGGAGAAAATATGTCAATATTGAGGAGACTGAAATTAAATTAGAAGCCATTATAGAATTGATTCAGTCAATAAAAACTATGATATGGTATGAATTTTCGCATAGAAAACAGGAATCAGACAACTCAAATCCAAGATGAAAAACCAGATAATGTAAGCCTAATATAGTCTGATGTGGTAGTGCAAATCAGAATAGTACAGAAGAAATTGTTGTGATGTAACTCAAGACAAAGCTGACACAGCTGAAACTAATAGGTCACTGCTTCATTTGAGAGACTTGGTTGCCATCTCATATATTCAATAGATCTTTGCCAATGAACTACCGATTTTGAGTACACTCTTATATCCTAAACTTAATCAAACTACTACTGTTTTACATGAAATTGTAGATATACTTGATAGCTTCCTTAATACCTCAAGCCAAGTTCTTCATGTGTTTTCTTTAACTAATATGGCAATATTCAATAATGCTAGTTTCTAGTAATTGCCTTCTAAAATTGTAGTACTTCAAAAGACTATTATTTATACTATGGTTGCTCTTTCAGAATAGATACTATAGTAGTATGATGCAGAATAATTTATTTAGTCTAGAAATCAAAGTTATTATTAGTTAACTTAGAAACATCACAATTTGTAATGCTATAATTATTGAATTTATTAAAATAAGAAATATATTAACAGATTGCTGAAAACCTACTCAATCTGAAATTGATATTCCTATAACAAATCTGTTTATTCAGGTAGCAGCTCTTATTAGTTAATAATTCAATTCTGAATTTGATCATAACTACTCTGACTTTGTCTGTTCTATTAAATAAAAAGATATATTTCAAGAATCTCCAATTTTAAATTACTATAGTTTGTGCAATATTGTACCATATTCTGTAAAGTTTACATACTAGCCTTGAAATACCTAAAATTACTATTTGGTGAAGATCTGACTTACTTTCACAACCAGTAATTGAGTTTTGATTTTCAGAAAATCATCATTGATGTTAAAGTGTCCATTTGTGATGACTCTTGTTACTGTACTATAGATTTCTGAGCTGTCCTTGGGAGGAACCTTGCTGGCCAAACCTGACTTGGTATAATTGTCGGATCTGTGACCCACCAATGCTCCTCTCTGGTTCAGCTGCAAGTGGTCTTAACAGTATACAATGGTCAATACAATACCAGAGCTGACAGGCCAAGTGTAAGATAACTCTACTCTTCCAAGGTGGTAAATATTAAATGCTTTGTATCACATGCACACTTGCCATAACTAAGTCGAGCCTTATGCGTTGGTGGGTGTGGTGATTTTTGCCGGGTGACTCTCCCGTCCAGGTGATACCTATTTTTTGTGGCTACTGAAAACTACTTGTGGGAAGCTTTCTACGCTCTCCTATCGTACGGAGTACAGTCGTGTCCGTAAACTCTTCATACCCTGGCGGTGCAACCACATAACCGCAACACCTCTCCATGGAAAATTGAAAAAAAATTCAAACAACTCAATTAAGAATAGTATATGAATAGAACTAATAAGCCTTAAGAAAATATTATTACCACTTTGTATAACCACCATCTGCATCTAGTACAGCCTGTATTCTGTCAGGCATCCTATCTATCCACCCATCCAACTTCTCTTGGGAAATTAAATCCCATTCCTCCTTTGCTGCCTGAAATAATTCAGCCGCACTCTGAGGCCTCCTATCCAACCAGGAGAATCGATTTCTGAGGGCTCTTTTGAACAGAGCCCAAGTGTTCTCAATAGGATTGAGATCTGGTAAGTTGGGTGTCCAAGTCAATTTTTGATAACCACAGTCTGACTGCAATTTTCTGTTTTCCTCACCCCCATACCAGGAGGCATTGTCTGCTGCTAGGTAGATGTTGTCAGAAGGTCTATCCAGACCTTCTATAAAAGGGATGAGGTATGGCTGGTGGATTTCAGTTGCATATTGGTGGGAATTGAGGCCAAGTCCTGTCTATTTTGCTGGTCCTTTTTTCCTCCCCCCTCTTCCTCACAAGAATTAACCCAGTCCTGCCACCCTTCGTGATTGCAGCATAGGCCCCAATATTAGTCTTCATAGACTTAAAGCTAGGCTTCAAGTTTTTTTCTTCCAGCTCTTCACCAGGTCTAACTCTGACCTTCCTGCCAGTAGGATTTGGATCATAGATAATAGTGGCTTCATCCACAAAAACAACCCAATTCCATACACCCCTCCAATTCCTCCTTCTCCTAGCAAACTCCTTTCTCTTCTCCTTCTGTCCTTTCCTCCAAAAAGGTTTTTTTCTAGGTATCAGAAGCTTAAAACTAGCTTCTGATATGATCTTATCCACAGATGTCTGTAACGATCCCCTTCCAGATAGTTAGTTCTTGGCAACGGGGAACGATACTTACCTTTTCTTTCCCTTTCTTTCCTTGTCTTACGATAGCTCTAGGCCTCCGCCTATGTTACCGATAGTACAAGACCTTTGTCTTCTATCGGAAACACCTATCGTAAGCTTTCTCTAACTCGTTTTCGTAACGAGTGCTTCTTGGTGTAATGACAAGGTTGCAATAACGATAAAGATCGCAAAGGTGTTTTATATTCGTTAAAGTAATATGTAGGAAAAGTACTTAGAACAAAGCATGAAGAACCTGTCTTCCTCGGCCGCATCGGCCTCCTTATATAGTGTTCTTCCCGCCTTTAATCATGTGACCTAAAGTAGTCACATGTGCGAAACCAAATCAAAACAATCTAATCATTTGACCAAAGTGATCACATGTTCAAAACCCATGACCTTATAGCGAGGTCATGTGCAAAACTCATAAACCAATCATAACGCAATAAACAAGTCATATGACTCAACTGAGTCATATGCACGAAACCCATGACATCATAATGAGGTCATGTGCGAAACATAAATCATATGTGCAAGGCTTGCCCATAAGGCATACTCGTAAGGCATCCTCGTCAGGCGCATGTCCCATGACTCATACTTGAGCCATGTGCGAAAGCATCACAAATCCCACACATAACTAATCATACAACCCAAATAGGTTATATGCGTGAAACAATAACATACCTGTGACTCATAACCATGTGTCACGTGAAAACCCTTTCCTCACTAAGCCACGTTCGTGACAATGTCTTTCCCAGACCAATATTCGCTTTTTGGGTAATGTCGTGTAACGCTAAATGAGGCTCAGCATCGATAATGGACTCCACTATCTTTCTTTTTTGAGGGGTAATTGTTGTTGGTCTTCCAGATCTGGGGGCATCATGGGTATTTCCATCTCTTGATTCAGCTCTTTTGACTACTGATTGAACAGTTGCCTTAGAGATACCCATAACCTTGGAAATTTTATTATACCCCATATCAGTATATTTATACAGGGGATAAATTTCCTTATTTTGCTCTTCTCTAGCTCTTCGGGTATGTGGGGGGGTCATGGTAGAGGCGGTTGTTGTGGGGATGGAGGACAACACCATTGCCGCGCCGCGGTATCAAGACTTTACGGACACGACTGTACATTCACACAACTGCGATTTCCGGTTTAACCATTAAACGCGGTAGAATGGTGTCCCCCAACCTTTGTCCTCCATAGCCCCTTCATTTATCAGCTGGTTGCAGCTTTGCGATTTTTCCAGATCTGCGTGTCGCCTGACATCAACTGCCCGATTCCTTCTGTCGTACCTAACAGGCTAAATTAACGGCCATGAAGAGCAAACGTGGGGTCGACTTGTCACGTGCGCAAGCACAGTCGTCTCTAAGACATTGCGTGGTTATCAAATCATCTGATCAGCTCGAGATTACTTGCTTCTTTGTGTTTCTGACCCACGGGGATAACCGCTCAAGACGTCACACCATACACCACCCTCAACTCGTGGTGACCACCCTAGATTGGGGCATGATATTTGTCCCCATCGCCGTTCGGAATTTTTCTCAGCCCTCTTACCAACTTTCACAATGCCTACTACCCTCTCGACTCTCGTTCACTCCGGACCGATCCATCTCCTAGCCTTCGGCATCCTTTTGGGATCCCAGTTCTACCAGGTGAGCCGTTTGTATCCACTACCGGTACTCCCCACGCGAAGCAAGCTAATTCCCACCCAGTCATTTATTGGCGGAGTAATAGCCTATAAAGCTCTCCCCCGCGCTCAATTCTCCCAACTCCAACAAAAGATCTTCCCAGTCTATTTCACCATCCAAACCGTTCTCCCAACCATCCTCCTCCTTACTCACCCCTCCATGTCGCTTACCCGCCTTATTAACCCCTCGTCTCCCTTTTTCTACAATTCCGGACTTCCCTTACTCTTTGTTTTCTGCGCATCTCTGGCCAATCTGGCTGTGATTGGACCGGCCACCTCAAAGATTATGCGCGAGCGTAAAGTTCAGGAGACCAAGGAGGGGAAGAAATATTACGATGAAGGGCCAAAGAGCAAGGAAATGGAAGCGCTGAATAGGAAGTTCGGAGCGATGCATGGCGCCAGTAGCTTGATCAACTTGATTGGATTGTTGGTGACTGGTTGGTATGGTGTTATTCTTGGGCATAAGATCCGGTGGTAGCTTGGGGGCAGCTAGTTTGTTGAGCTGAACGCTTGTACCGAAGGTTGGGGTTTTATGGAGTGAGATGCCAATGGATGCGCTACTACCGATATCAGCATGAACTGAAATGCTAAGAAATACAATGTTTGGTGGCTTGTTCCTGTGTCCTTACCCTAATGTTGTATTCAGCTAGCGAAGCAATACAGTAGGGTTTCTACAGTGCGAGTACCAGCCTGTGTTAAAAAAAAGAGATTGGAAATGTGGAAATGACATCTTAGAAACACGGTTGCTTAGTTGGCTTGTGCATTCTGGACGTCAGAAGTGGTCCGTCCACTTCTCCGCCGTTTTTCGCTTATGACGGTCTGGCGAGTTCTGGCTTTCGGGAGTGCAGTTCTAGCTATTTGGTGGTTGTTCATAAGCTGTGATGCAATCTCCTCTGCTAAGGGGACTGCTATTAGGAGAACCTTGATACTTGGAAGGAGCTTGATCGGTTATCCAAAGATAATTTTGAACGGTGATTTTTCAGCACTGTTCCTAGGAGCTGCATTAATTGCTGGTTCTTTTAGGCCAAACAGCGTTTTGGGGTCACAGGTGGATTATTTGTATTCTTTGCTCTGTTTATTTATTGGTCTGGTAATGGTAAGTGGTAGCCACGTCAAGGTTAACCATAATGTTTGCCATCAATTAAGGGTAGAAATGTGATGTGAATTTGGCAGCTCTATAAGATACAAGAGTGGTGGGATAACCTTAGACTGAAAATACCACATAGTGGAGTAGCAGGGCTGTTTGTTGTACCATGATGTTTTTAGAGAAGGAAAGAGGTATAGTAAGTGAATCTCCTAAAGGAGTTCGGGTCAACTAGAATCAAGTTTAACTGTTCATTGCAGGAGAAAGATCTTGTAAAGTCAATTATGATGCAGTAATTCCAATAGTATGGTATGTGGCCTCATAGTATGATGGGAGTTTTTCCCTATTAGGTAGTTGAGTAGGCTATGACCCTAGTGATATGTGCCTCTTAGGCACCCATCTCATTCTGTATTTAGTCTCAGGGATTTTCCCTCTACTAGAATAGAATCATTATCTTTCTCCTCTTATACTATTGACCATGTTTCCATATTGACATCCTCCCATAGGAACATCATCACCTGTCCTCTGCTAGATGATTTGTGCTATCAGGTTATAAGCCCTCCTAAGCACACAGATATTCACTCCTAGTCAACAAAAAGAGAAGACTCTTATCACCTGATCTTCACATCTACAATCTTGAGCACTCTATTGAACAATGAATGAACAAGACAGTTCATCATTCCTGGTGGGATTAAGTTTTGCGAAACTTGATCTTACCAATTATCAACGCTGGGTAACAAGCGTGAAACGCCTTCTCCAACGGGTAGGCCTATGGGACTTGACTATTGATGATGAAGTAATAATTAGAAGACCCTGATCATGATTCTGCAGATGGAAATTACGAAAGAAAACTTGATTGATCCCAGACACACCAGAAGAGAATACAGAAAATGGTTGCAATAATTTGTCTTGCAATAACTGATAGGAGTTTAGACAACTATAATGATGATATGTGGTCTACTCCAGCAAAGATCTGGATGGACATTAATAAGAGATATAAGACAGCAATAGTATATGATGAGAAGTACCTACAGAAAGAGCTTTATTAGTGTCAACTTGAAGAGGAAGGCACTGTCTTAGACTATCTGAACAAGATTGAGAGACGTGGTAACAAACTTACAATGTTCAAAAATACCCCAACTGATGCACAACTAATTTTCTATATATTTGATAGGCTTCCAATGTTACAAGAATGGGAAACATGAGTGATGGTTACAGAATGCATCCTGGATGCACACTTACCAGGGGACAGGCTGGAGAAGCTAAAGTTAATTTAACCAGCCTTTGAGGGTAAACTCCACCACAAACAATCTATTGCACTATGAGAGGGTTTATTCACAAGGACACAGAGTAGTAGAAAGTTCAAGGAGTCAAAATGAAATGTTCAGAACAACACAGCCTACAAAGCCAAGGAGGAAACAATAAGGGAAGCTGGCAAATGTACTCACTTTAATGGAACCTGCCACAACTGTGGTATGAAATAACATAAAGCTTATGAATGTCACCAAAAGAATAAAGATGAAGGGAATTTCCAAAATCATATTCTGGTTAGGTATGAGCAACCACAGTGTTCTGGAAGATCACAAAGGATTAGAGTTATGAATGAGCATGTATAGTTGACAGCGGAAGCTGATACAGAGAATGTAATAGATATTGAAAGAAATGAGGTTGCACAGGTAGAGACTGGGTCCTCCCTAAATGACAAGGAGGAGTTGGAGAAGATTAAGACAAGTGTCTCTTTGGATAAGATAATGGTTGAAAAGGAACTCAAGAATAAGGCAATATGAGTTGGAGATTTTGGATGTACTAATCATATGACCCACGAGAGAGATAACTTCGTGGAGTGAACCTATACACCTCTTCCAATGAACTCAAGATAATCGAAAACAGCAACTGGTGAACCTGTTTTCATGCCAGGGATTGGCACAATTTGCATCAAGATATGGACACCAGCTGGTAGGGCAGAGACCACACTACTTACAAAAGTCCTCCATGTGCTGGAAGCATGAAATACAAGTTTGATCTCAGTTAGTCAATTGACACAAAAAGGATTCCAAATTAACATTACCAATTATTCAGCAGAATTGTACCAGGAAGGCATCGTGACAGCAGTTGCAAGAAAGATTGACTGCCAATATATCCTAATAATAAAGCAAACATGATTGGATTCTGGACTTGTGGTTTCAACATATGATCCCTCTACGACAACTCTTTGGCATCATCCATTGGGACATCTACACATAGAAGCTGTACTCAACATTAGTAACAGAGGATGGGTTAACAGAATGCCAATACTTCTTGTTGATAACCGTCAGAATCACTGTACTGAATGCTTGACAGGAAAAATGATATGAAAATCCTTTAAGTCAGCCTTATAATAAACAACTGCTTTCCAGGACCTCATACATTTGACCTGTATGGACCAGTATGGTGAGAGTCTCTGGGTAGTTGCCATTACTTTATGGTCTTGGTGGATGACTTCACTAAGTTCCCAACGGTCTTTCTTCTCCAGTTCAAGGATAAGATAGCGAAGTATTTTCTTGACTATAAGGTAAAAGTAGAGCATATACATAGTGGAGTTGGAAAGAAACATGTTATAAAGACAATCAGGACTGATGGTGCAGGAGAATTTATGGGATATGTGTTTCAAAGTAAATTGAGACAATATGAGATTGAATCTCAATTTACAGTTCCCTATACTCCCCAAGAAGATGGAATTTCCGAAAGCAACAATCAAGCTCTGGTTGGATGGGCCAAGGTACTTGTACAACATGGTAAAGCATCACTATCATCTTGGGCAGAAGCAGTACAAACTGTATTTTATTTGAAAAATATGTCCGCAACAAAGGGAATGTGTGATGCAGATACAACTCCAAGTAAACGTTTTTTTTGGAAGAAGCCTAGTCTCAATCATTTACATGTATTGGGCTGCACAGTTTATGCATTCATACATTCAGCTCACAGAGCTGTAAAAAAGTGTTGTCGTCACCAGGAGAAGTTAATGTTTATTCACTAGACCTTGACAAGCAAAGAATATCTGTTAGATGATTCAAAATATGTTTTATATTTTGCTTTAAGTATCAGTTGATATTTGTTTTTGTTTTACTGTTTAGTTTAAGTATTGTTTGATATTTACCTGGTTTTACCAAAGGGTATTGCTTGTTCCCTTTGATTAGTTTTGTTGATGCTAGATATGTACAGATTGGTAAATTTAACAACCTCGTGATTCCGCAATGGAAAAGCCAGACTTTGACGGACAGTATTTCAATAGACTTGGTTGAACTGTTATTCCTTAGTTTTCAAAGTACAACTACAAATCCTACTTTAGATAACAGGTCTCGCCTTCTGTCTGGAAGAGCAGACCACCTGTCGAATATCATACTTTATCATAAAACATGATTGTCATCTTGCAAAAATGATACCAAGTATTAAATCAGTACTCAAAACAAAATGTATAACAAAGCCAAGCATCCAAGTGATACTAAAAATCAAATATAAAACAAAACCCTTGACAGAGTAGCTGCACATGTGATAATGGCCTTGGAAAGCA